GTATATATACAGATATATGTACATGTGTGTGTGTATGTATGTGTAATATTTGTTTATTTGTTTTCATGCTGTCTTCCCCATTAGATTATGAGCTCCTTGAGAACAGAGAATTTTTTTTTCAGTTCAATTTAATTCAATAAACATTTATTAAGTGCCTAGTATGAGCCAGGCACTATGCTACCTTCTGAGAATACAAATAAGAAATAGATGGTTCTTGTCCTCAAGGAGCTTACAATCTAATGAGTAAAGACAACATACAAAAGAAATCCAGAAAGATGAAGGGGGGACATCAGGGAGTACCTGGAGTGGACACCAGGAGACACTCAGTGCAGGAGTATCTTGTTCTGTGGAGTTGAAAGGAAGCAGAGTTGCAAATGGAGAGTAGAGTGTGATGGAATTCCAAAAATTTCTGCTATCTGTAAAGAAAGGCTTTGGGAAGAGTTTAGCACTCTACTATACCATAGCCATCTAATCAGAGGGGAGAGGAGGCTGAGGGATGTGGGAAGATGATAAATATCCAGTGCTTCAGTTAGCTACTTTGTGATGAGATTAAGAAAAATCAGTTTATCCAGAAAGGAACATCTTCTTTGTTTTGATAGACTATGGTTACTTGTTTCAGAGTTTTTTTTTTTGTTTATACTACACCCCCTCCCCCCCAGTGTGGGAAATGTAGGAGAGTAAAAAATAAATGCTTCTTAATTAAAAAATTAAAATGTAATTTAACAAATCACTTCCACTGACCCCAAAAGCTCACCTTCCACTGGGGTGTTGTTGTTCAGGTGTTTTAGTTGCATCTGACTCTCCATGACCCCATTTTGGGGTTTTCTTGGCAAAATTACTATACTGGTTTGCCATTTCCTTTTCCAGCTCATTTTACAGATGAGAAAACTGAGGCAAAGAGAGTTAAACGACTTCCCCAGGGTCAAATATCTAGTAAGTTTCTGAGGCCAGATTTGAACTCAGGAAGATGAATCTTCCTGGTTCCAAGCCTTGTGCTCTATTCACTATGCCACTTAGCTGCCCTTTTATCAGGGCAGACAACACATAAATATTGCAATACATACTATATTTTTTTAACCAGGTATAATTACACATTCTTAAAGGGAATCAGACTTGAAGATAGGAGACCTGGGTTCTACTCTCATCTGCTGCATTTTAGTGACTATTCTTTCGGGTTGGTAACTTTGTCTCTCCTCCCCTTATCTCTAAAACTAGTGGGATGAATAAAATGACTATTAATGTCCCTTCTGGGTCCAAAACTCTTCAGTTCTAGGAAATTCTAGTGTGGAATTGTTATTAACCTTTCCTATCATGATTTCTTTGCTTTTATATAAAACACGTACTTCCCTTCTAAAGGCTGGATTAAGCACTCTTTCATACCAATAGTCTCCCAGTGATGCTATATGGCTTCAAGTTCTGAAATACCTATGCTTGCAAAAGAACCCAAATTATAAATAACCCAGATGAAATGGAAAGCTCTGTTGGGTGTTTAAATAGGCTGCCATATTACCATTGAGGTTGTTTGAGCAGTGGCTTAAAAATAATTGAGTAGAAGCATTACTGAAAAGAAAATCATATTGTAAGAATTGCAGATTACAAGATAGTCAGTCCAAGTACTATATGCACACTCCAGAGTCAATAAAAAAAAAGAAAGAAAAAAAAACTAGAGAGAGGGCCCTAAAACACTGAAAAGTTCTTTATAGGGGATTTATGGAACTACATGGATAAGAATTACATAGGTTCAGAGTGAGTGAAGGGATAGGGATCTGTTTCCATGGAGGTAATGTCTGCATGTTTGAAAACACAAGCTAAGTGTTCACAGCCTGGATCCTTAAAAAGTAATGAATTTGAAATATTAGCACTACTTCTGTTAGCCTTATGAACATGCTTTTACTCCTCCTGGCATGGTCACTCATGCAGCTGGAAAACCTTAGAAATGCAACTTGAGTTAAAAATAAAGTCTCTAGGGCATGGCTCCTCCTCCATAGGAAATCTGAGAACTTTGGCAGCATTAGGCTCTACAAATGTAATATCTGATTTCTTCCAGAAGGGATAGTAATCTGACCATGTGGTCTCCTATTCTGAACAGAGAAACACAATTCTTTCTACTGAGGTCATGGTTTATTCCTGTTGGATAGGCAACAGACATCAAGGGAAACAGATCACCCCTCCCTGGCACTCTCCATACTTCTTCATTCTGTTCAATTAAGGAATTCCTGTAACTAGGACCCTGCCTCCCAATCCCTGACAAGGATTACTATACTGCTATCTCTCTCCTCTGTTTTTCCCTTCTTCCTTCAGAAAGAGAGAGAGACAGTAAGAGAGAGAGAGAGAGAGAACACATAGGGACTGTGTATCACTACCCACTTTACCTGGCTCTTGTGCAGAAAGTGTACCTTAAAGTGTTTATAAATGAAACCTATTAATATTATTATCACACTTATGTGAGTTATTATGGCCACTTACCATTACCATTCCACCTTGTGCCAAGTTCAATCAATCTCCAAACCTCTACTAGACATAAATCAGAAAACAAACAAAAAACCTTCTTACAAGTCTCTTCAGACTGAGAAGTCCTCGATGCCAAGAATGCCTCAATTTTCTACTAAAAAGATGGTGAGATGCATTGTTTTAGGATCACAGCAGCAAGAAGGATGAAATGTCCAGGCCTGAAAAGTCATTTCTACTGTTAATGAGGTACCTCTAGACACCTCTGCAAAGTCTGTCTCTACTTGTTAGAAATCTATTTCTTGTCATCCTAGATGCTATAGAGTCCAGTGAAAACCAAATGCCAACTCATCACCTCTGATTCATCCATCATCTTTGTTTTTAGGATAGTTTCTGGACTACCATCAGCAACTCTCATTATGTAAAATAAGGTGATTGCACTAGATACCTCTGAGATACTATGAAGTACCTTCCCTCTCTACATCGATGATTCTTTCATCAATGAACTTGCTTAGAGATGTCCGCTTAGACCCCCATGCTGCACAACAAAACTCCAATTTCTAGGTCTTTTCTCTATTTTCTGTGAGTTTTCTTACACATTGTATATGAGGTTACTGGGGGCACAATGGATAGAGTACCAGGACTGGAGTCAGGAAGACCTGAGTTCAAATATGGCTTCTAATCTATGTAATCCTAGGCAAGGCACTGCCCTGTTTGCCTCAATTTCCTTAACTGTAAAATGGGGATAGGCATCTACCTCACAGAATTGTTGGGAGGATCAATGAAGTATTTGTTTAAAAAAAAGGCATTTAATTCAGTGCCTAGAACATTGTAGGCACTATATAAATGCTTATTCCCTTTCCCTTCACCCCATATATAAACTAACCACCTAAAGCTCATTCATACATTAAAATCTTGGCTAAAGTTCCTCTTGAGAAATTTCATGTGTTGTCACTGTAGATTTTCATGATTGTCACAGAATGATCTAGGCCCAACACTGAGAAACATTACCCAAGTCACTTAACCTTCTTTAGACTTAGTTTCCTTATCTGTAGAAGAAGAAGAACAAGAAGAAGAAGAAGAAGAAGAAGAAGAAGAAGAAGAAGAAGAAGAAGAAGAAGAAGAAGAAGAAGAAGGAGAAGGAGAAGGAGAAGGAGAAGGAGAAGGAGAAGGAGAAGAAGGAGAAGGAGAAGAAGAAGAAGAAGGAGAAGAAGAAGAAGAAGAAGAAGAAGAAGAAGAAAAATGCTCTATTTAATTAGAGGATTACTAAGAGACACAATGGCGTCATGGATGTGATGTTATACTAGGAGTCTAGAACATGTGTTCAAATCCAACTTTTGTTTTTCCTTGCTGTTTGAACAAGGTGAGTTACTTAAACTTTCCAAATTTCAGGCAACACTCTAAGACCTTTATTTACTATTTTACAGATGGTTATATTGTGTGTGAAAAGTATTTTTTGAAAAACAGAAAGAGCTGTAAAAATACATTCTTGTCATCATAACCTCAATTGCCCTTATTTTTAAATGTGTGACCCCAATTGAAATCCTCATCAATAAATTGCAAAGTCTATGTTGAGACCAAATGCTCTCAGGTTAAAGAAAGGAGTTTGGCACATAGATGAAAAAAGTGGGGAAGAGCTCCCAATAAATTGCAACATTGAGACTGAAAAAGCCTTTAAAAGGCTTTTTTTAAAAGAGAATGCAGAAGACAAGCACAGACTAAAATGAAAGAAAATGAAAATAAAATCACCCTTTTCCTACCCTCCACCCTCATCTTTTAACAATTGGAATCAGAAGAGCAGGGTTCAAATCCTATCTCTGCTACTTACTATCAGTATGACCCTGGACCTTTTAATTTGAATATGACATTCACTTAGCTTTTTGCACAATGCACAAAATACTTTAATGGAGTTTAAAACTGCAGGCTGCCTTCTCAGGAAGGAAACTGAAATGAATTACGGAAACTACATGATTTCCTGAATTGCAAAATGTGGATCTAAGATATTCCTAAGTCAATGGATCAAAAGCATCTCTAACAGCAACCCAAATCCTCTCTGCTAATAGAATATCAGAGTTCCTCATGTATATCTGGTATTACCCTCAGAAAGAGTGGGTAGAATCATCAACCTTATTCATTCTTTGATTTCCTTCTGAAATGAGGGCCATATTTTTAAAAAAGCTATCATCAGAACTTTTTGGAAAGATAGTATCACAGTCAGTTTCATCTAAAATGGCCCTTGCTGGCAATAACCCATTCTCCCTCTGCAGAAAGAAGGGAAAAAAGTTGGGGAGTATTGGAACGGGGTGGTAAGAGATGGGTTCTATATACTTCTCTCCCTAGTCTCACATCTCCCCCTCCCCCATCAGTAGAGGAAAGAGTCCACTTCAGAGAAAACTGTTGGGGGTTGGAAATGGGGGGTCGACACCAAATGTATAACCAAAAACATTCCCAACTTTAATAATAGAAAAAGAAACTTTCAGTAACTACGAACAGATATCAAAGCAGTTGTAAAAACAGAGACACAGAATGCAAGGAACTTAATAGGATCCTACCTCTCTGTCTCCCTCTCTCTCTCTCTTTCTCTGTCTCCCTCTCTGTCTCTCTGTCTCCCTCTCTGAGAAGCAAGCAGATGAAAACGGAGCACAGTTCTAGGGTACGCTGAGGAGTTCCAAGGGAGAGGCAAGCAGTGCCTGCAGAGTGTGGCTAGGCCCAGCCCGTTTTCAGAAGCTTGCCCTGGTCAAATTTTCCAAAAGCAGAATTGTAGCCAAGTCCCTGCCCATGCCTGAAGAATTTCCTGAACAGCATTCCCGTTCTTTTTTCTGACTGCTTTGAAACCACACTCTGTCTGTACTTCAATAAGGCTTTGTCAGGCCAAGTTACAGCTACTGGTCTGCCTCCAGATATCAATGGAAAACACATGTGTCATGCACAGACAAAGCTCTCCCCCCACCTCCCTGCAACAGCGCCTATGGCGTCTGCGCGCCTCATACTCACAACTCTAAAGTAAACCATTTCTATAACCGATTCTGATTTTTCAACAATTCTACACACACAGAATCCTCTTTGTGGTGCTAGATGCCAGAGATAATACCTCTCTCTTTGAGTCAACACTGCTCCTTTTTAAAACACTTCCCCCCCCCCACCACCATAACCAAAGTCTTAGGCTGACCCAGGTTAGCACTTAGCTCTTACGGGCCTTTATAAAAAAAAAAAAAAAACAGCCTATTACAGTGGAGAGATAAGAATTCTAATTTGATCTCCCTACCTGCCTTTGCCTGGGTCTTTCTTTGCTTAAAATTTCAATTGCTGGAAGGGAAACAATATTTTTAGCATTTCTAGACTTGGTTCAGCACATCACAGCCATACCCTAATCTTGACACATGCTACTATAGCTGCTGAAACTAAAAATAATGCAATTATTTTTCAAGCACTTTTTTTGCTCCCTACTCTTTAGTGTAATTTGCCCTAAAAATGTAACATTTTACACACCACCATGTCAACATTGTTTTTGCCTGAGTTATGGAAAAAGGAGGGGGAAAAGCATGTATCTTTAATCAGAATGGGCAGAATTCTTTACATGAGATTATTTCCTCAAATGATAGCATATCAGATTTCTGTGTTCATGTATTCTGTTCATGCTCTGTAATTGACATTCCATATCTAATTATATACCTATGCATACATAGATATATGCATACATCTCTCTATATATTTGAGTGTGTGTATATATGTATGTTTAAAATCAAAGTCTATGTTAGAGCTAAAAAGATGGAAAGATGTTCCCCCTTTTCTCCCACAGTCAACTCTCCCCTAAAAGCTGAAGCAGAGTTGTCAAGGTAACAATATGGGAAAAGAGACAATTTAAAGAGAAACAGTTGTTATTATTTGGGGGATACTAAAATTCTTCTTCCAAAACTCACACCCTATTACCAGCTTACTCCAAATAATTGGGCCTTCCTGAGTTTTAAACAGATGTGTGCTCTGGAGGGAATGTTCTAAATGATTGGATGTGAGTCAGGGTGTTAGCCTCAGAGTTGATTGCAATGGAGTTTCAGTAAAGAGGCAGGATTAAGTTCCCAGGCTTGAGAGGAAGAGGGGTGTGTGTGTGTGTGTGGTGTGTGTGTGTGTGTGTGTGTGTGTGTGTGTGTGTGTGTGTGTGTGTGTGTCTAAGGGGCCAAGATCCAATCCATTTTCTCTATTTCAGGACCATCTCGTCGAACAAAAATCAACTCCTTTTTCTGTAACATGCAGTCTTCAGAGCTTCTACAAAGGCAAGAATTGACTTCTACATCCAGGGACCTTAAGAGAGACTATTCAGTTGGTGTTGACAAATTTTGGGTTACCAAGACATGAAAATGATGTCACTGAGACCTTTGACACCAGCAGAGAGCAGAGGTAACTATTTCCCTAATTTCTCCTAATGTTACTTGAGAAAGAAAGCAACCTTGGACGACTTTCTCTCTGTTCTCCAAATGTAAGGGTCAATATTTTTCCTCTGAAGATTTAACTCACAGGAAAGCAGATTAGAAAATTGGATTTGCAGTCATTTACGGTGGGTTGGACAAAATAGTGCTGTCACTAAAAGAGAATTGGCTTCTTTCACCGTTACCAGACAACGAACTTGAAATGACCACTCAAATTAGAAAAGAGTTACGAAACACAACTCTCATATCAGGAAAGAGCTGAAGTCTTGAATTTTAAAAACCTTTAAAAAAGACTGTGAGGAAATTTTGCTGAGGTAAGACAGCTTCTCCAAATTCTAGGATCAGAGAAACATGAAATTGAGAATTGGAAAGACCTTAGAGGTTTTCTATTCCAATCCTCCTGTTTTACAGATAGGAAATGAAAGCTTAGAGATATTAAATGACTCACCCAAGGTAACATGGAGACTAAGGTGCTGGGAAGAGAGTCAAGTTCAAGACTCACTAGAAACTAGGGGAGTCATGTCTAGGCTGGATATGTATTTTACTTGGGTTTTATCATAGATTATAGAGATGTCAAGAAGTCAATAGTTTATCAATTCCATGCTTGTAGTGTTTATTCAATTCTGCTCTAAGGACTGGAGGTTGGCAAGAGAACAGAGAAAATGAGGATGGAAGATAGTGTGGTAAAATGTCCAAAGCTAAAAAAATTTTGGGGTAGAAATGAAACAGAAGAATAGGAAAAAACAGAAAGAAAGTGGGAAAGCAGAGCAAAACAAATTTTACTCCCCCCACAAGCTCCCTCCCTGCCCCTCTCACCAATCCCTTCTGTGGCTAGCATAGAAAGAAAAAACAGGGAAGGGCAAAAACATAGACAGTAGGAGAAAGAAGTGGTGGATATGACTTTTCTGAAATGGAGGTTAGTTTAAAGATGGAGTCACTCATTTTAGGAGATAGAAAATACAAAGTCCTTGTTTGCCTTTGCAAAGAGATAAGACTTTTCTCCTTCCTGAGTTAATAATGTTATTTGCAAGAGAGATCCTTGGAACTGATCTAATGTGTAGGCAGAAGATGTAGTCACCACAGTGTTGTTAAAAGAAGGCCATGTCTAGCCTGGGCTTACCTAAAATCCATAACATTAGGGAATATAAAACAACAGCAACAAGAACAAAATAAAGAATAAACAAAAAGAAAATCATAGGAAAACATATGGGCTGATCAAAGCAAAGAAAGAACCAGAACAGGAAGCAAAATGACCATAATAATGTAAATAAAGACCACATTAAAATACTTGAACTCATATAAAAGGGAAGTGACCAACATTGGTTTCAGAGTAAATGCGATGAAACATACCACCTCCCCTCTGTAAAGGGGTAGGAGACACCAGGTATAAAATGTTGCAAAAACTGTCAAGCACGGTTCTGTGTTGGTTGATTTTTGAAAATTGTCTTTGATTTAGGGGAAGTGTGAAGCAGGTATGAAAAAATGTTTATGGCATAAAATACCAAAGGCATAAAAAAAACTTTAAAAAAATGAAGGGGCCAAAACAATTTCATAATTAGTGATTCATTCCAGTTAAATCATTTCTTCTCCAGAAATAATTTTTTTTCACAGATAAATATCTTGGGAAAGGCAAGATATTAAGGCATTTTGAGCCATTAACAGCCTTAGAGAATGAATTAATTTGTTAGACATTAGTAAACCAGTCCCCTGGGAAGGCCCTGATGAAATAATTGTTAATTGATTGATTTCCACTCCTATCTCACATTACTCCTTTTACAAACTTTACTTTCTAGTCAAATTGGACAGCTGACCATTTCTAAATTCATTTAGTTCCTCTCTTTCCCCATGCCATTTGTTATAGTATCGCATAAACCTGGAATCCTCTCTCCCATCTTTTATGCCACCTCTTATGCACAGGCCACCATTGGTAATGTTTTGAAGCCTCTTTAGACCTACCAGGCCTCTGTATGTTTCCTTTGGGATTACCTGAAATTTTGAGCCATTTTAAATCACAGCATTCTATTGTACGTAACCATGTAGATCCAATAGGAGAAAAGCCAGCATATTTGGAATCTCAACAATTGAAGGTAGATCTTCCCTTGGAAGAGACTGCCCATACACACCTTCTCCAATTAATGCCTATTTGTTTACACTTCTTCCAAAAAAGATCTGTTAAACATGTGGGAGACTTTCCTCTATGTCTTCGTATACCTTATGAAGATTAATGCTGCTCTAAAACTGTCCATTTGCTTTCTTTTGCTTTTAATACATCCTTTTCTGACTCAACATTTTCTGACTCAATGCAATCCCTTATACCCCTTCTCACATCATCATTGGAAAGACACTTCAGCCTATTTGCACCCAGCATGAATCTCTCCATTAACCTCTGGGTCACTCTCAACTTTAATACTATGAAACTGGTGGTATTCCAAATTTGGCAATTACATAGACATAGTAAAAGCATATTTGTGTTTAGATTTTTTTGAGTTAGACTTTGGCACTGGGAAGTGTTCAGAGTCATTGAAATCACAGCCCAATTTCCAAAATGCAACCCACTGTTCTTTCTTATTTCTGTTCCATTCTTCTCTGCCCATCTGTAGGGCCTGTCCCAGATAGCTGGAGTGCTGCATTAACTCAATGGATAAGACACACAATTGCATGTCATAGTCTGGACTATAGTCAATCTTCATTTATTAAGTATTTCCTGTGTAGACTTTTGGCCTGATTTGTTGCATCATGGATTTCCCAGAGGAGTCTCTGTAATGTTCTAGAGCTCAGTGTAATGGGTATGATGCCATCTGCAAAAAAAGAACAACAGAGAACACCAGCCTATAGAGGGAATCCCTATTCTATTTAGACCTTGCAGATGACATTGCCCCAAAAGCGGTGATGGACAACTTTGGAAAGCATGCATATCCGCTTTTTCTGTGCCTCAGTTTGCACTGGTAATTAGATGGTCATTAACTAGATATCTCCATGGTTGAATTAATCAAAGAATCTTGCTTAATCTAAGCATGTGCATGACAACCTGTATTGCTCTGAGTCATTAAAGTTTTGTTTTGTTCTATGGAATCCAATGTTTTCTTATACTCCAAAAACTAAATAAAGCACAAGAAGAATCTTATATCCTTTCTATCATGTAATCAATTTGCAGCTGTAAAGCATATTCTCTTATAAAAACTTATTTGCAAAAGCCTCTCTTTTCCCTCCATAAAGTGGTATGACAAATAAATCACTGGACCTAGAGTGAGGAAGACCTGAGTTTAAATCCTGCCTCAAGAACCTGTTAACTGTGTGACCCTGGGGAGGTCATATAATTTCTCACTGCCTCAGTTTCTCATCTATGAAATGAGGATAATAGCATCTAACTCCTTGCATTGTTGAGAGGATAAACTG